TCTAACTTTCTTCATTCCTTGCCCCGTGAATTTAGTTTATTTTCTCAACGGCAACTGATGGCAAAATAAAAGCATGGTTGTATGATAATTTGGGTTCAAGAGTTGATTATGACGCGCCAGGCCATTCGTCTACCAATATGGCATACAGCGCTGATGGAACACGGTCAATAGAAACATCCATACCATTTACTATTATGTTTATTTCTTAACTTTTTTTAAGAGCCCAGAAATTTACATATAATGTATTGATATACAGGTTGTTTTCTTGTGGGACTAACCAAGGAGGAGATTCATTCCTTGTGGAATGGAATGAAAGTGAAGGAGCCGTAAAACGTTCATATGCTGGTCTCTCCAAACGAGCTGTGGGGATTGTACAGTTTGATACTACCAAGAATCGATTTTTGGCCACAGGGGATGAGTCCATGATCAAGTTCTGGGATATGGACAATGTAAGCGTATTGACAAAAACTGATGCAGAGGGTGGATTGCCGGTAATTGTCCTCTGTACTGAGTTAAACCTGGCAGACAGTGTCTTTGCAGCTATCTACTAATTATTTTATCTTTTAGGCATCCCCTTGTATCCGATTCAACAAAGAAGGGATATTGTTGGCAGTTTCAACAAATGACAATGCTGTAAAAATTCTGGCTAACACAGATGGCATTAGGCTACTGAGGACAATGGAGAACCGTTCATTTGATGCATCTAGGGTAGTCTCTACTTCAGCTGTAAAGGTAAAATATTTTATTCCCATCTTCTATTATCCATTGTGTGTATTTATGCTGAAATGTATTATGCATCTTCAGCCTCCTCTGATGGGCACATTTGGTGCTGCTAGTGCTGCTGTTGGATCAAGCATTGTAGATCATATTGGTCCTGTACCGTCCATGATTCCAATGGTATGCTGCCATTAAAAAATTTTAGATAGGGAATCTCTTTTTATGAACATATGATCAATATCCTGGTCTCAAGTACATTATTAATGATTTATGCGTACACAAAATAGTTGCAGTTCAAACTTCTTCACATGATAATGCTACAACTATTCTGTAGTATTTAATTTTCGAATTGACATTTTAGTATTTTCAATTTGTGGTGAAATTGTTCGATTATTTTTTAGAATGGAGATAGTCGAAGTTTGGCAGATGTGAAGCCCAGGATTGCAGATGAGTCTAGCGAGAAATCCAGAATCTGGAAGCTTACAGAAGTCAATGAGCCAGCACAATGTCGCTCCCTTAGGCTACCAGATAGTTTGACGGCAATAAGGGTAACATCAACTCAGTCTTCAAACATTCGAAGTTTCATAATGAGACGTTGCCTAAAATTGGATTTTCTTTCAATTTTGGATTTGTGCTTACTTCCATTATAGGAGAACTAGCTGTTCCATCAGAACTACCGCTTGCATCTTTAACCCCTGAGTTTCTTTGTTTCCACCCTCCCTTGGCTCATACTGCACAATTAAGCTCTCGTTTCGCCAGAGAGTAATTTGGTTAATTTTTACTTTAAACAAACAGTAATCAAACACTAATTACTATTCAAAATTTTAAATTGACTGTTAATTATGTCTTTGTTTCTCTTGTCAATTCAAGTAGTTTGACTGTTGGAGTAATTAATGAATGCTTTTTAACATCAATTGCGTTGCCCTCAAAGAATTCTTACTTAAGTTTCAAGCATTCAATTAAAAGCAACAGACTCTCCAGATTGGATATTTAGATATGGTTATGGAAAACTTTAGAACTAGAGAGAGCTTGAAGCTGTTAGTTATAAGTTGTTTTATTCCCTTCCAAGTTCACCTAATCTTAAAATAGCTTTCAGTTCACTATATTTTTAGCTTATCCTTTATTAAGTACATCTTGACCTGTTTATAGTTTTTTGTTTCTTTCTCAAACTTACTTAACCCAGTTTTAAATGCATTTACCAGGTCTCAAGACTGATCTACACCAATTCAGGGTTTTCCATATTGGCTCTAGCTGCCAATGCTGTACACAAACTCTGGAAATGGCCAAAGAATGATCGTAACACAACAGGGAAGGTAATTATTTTACAGGGAAATTTCCTTTTTCATACTATTCTTCTTTTACTCTAGTTGCTTATTCAACTTTTGTAGGCAAATGCTAATATTGCACCACAACTGTGGCAACCTGCTAGTGGAATATTGATGACAAATGATATTAGTGACACGAACCCTGAAGATGTAGTTCCATGCTTTGCATTGTCTAAGAATGATTCTTATGTTATGTCAGCTTCGGGAGGAAAAATTTCATTATTCAACATGATGACGTTCAAAGTAAGTGGCTTATTTCTGCTCATACCAGGCATTTACTTTCAACTGTATCTAGTGCTTATGAACAATATTTGGTCTTAGGTAACAGTTCTTGTTATTAGATAAACGCTTGCTTTCTATGTTACATGTCCCCAGTTAACTTGGAAATAACTTTTTTTATCTACAGATGATGACTACGTTCATGCCTCCTCCGCCAGCAGCAACATTTCTGGCATTTCACCCACAAGACAACAACATCATAGCCATAGGCATGGATGATTCCTCTATCCAAATATATAATGTCCGGGTTGATGAGGTAGAGCCTAAGTGGTGCAACTTTTTACTTAAACTCGTGAGCCTAACAATTTTATAAGTCAAGCCGTTTTTATTGTATGCTTTTGTTGCACAGGTTAAGACCAAACTCAAAGGTCATCAAGAAAGGATAACTGGTCTTGCCTTCTCTAATGCACTTAATGTACTTGTATCTTCAGGAGCTGACTCTCAGGTAAGGTGCTTTTGACATGGATGCTTCTACAAGTGGAAATTATGGTTCCTGCACGTGTATATTCCTGTTCTTTACGCCATCTTATAAAAAATATACCAGGATCACGAAATTAGGAACTGCACAGTGAGACTTAATAGACCTAGGACTACAATAAAAAGTTCTTGGGTAAATAGCATGGGCTTCTGTATACACTTTAGTAAATTTGAACTTTTATCCTATTTTCCCAATAAACCCACATTTATTTGCATTTCTCATTACTCCTATGTAGTGTGGAGTGTTGTGATTTTTCTTTTACTTTGAAGCACATGAAATTGGGCGTGTGGCTGTGTAATATTTTCAGCTAATGATGCCTTTCTATTTCTGCAGCTCTGCGTTTGGAGCACTGATGCATGGGAAAAGCAAACAAGTAAAAACTTGCAGATTCCACCTGGTCGTACGACTTCTCCTCTTGCAGATACACGAGTGCAATTTCATCAAGACCAAACACATTTACTAGCAGTCCATGAAACTCAGATAGCAATATATGAAGCACCCAAATTAACATGCCTGAAGCAGGTGTGACGTTTAACATTTTTGCTTTTGACAAATATGGTTGTTTGTACCGTGCTTGTTGTAGGTTTATTCTGGACAGTACATCTTTTTGCACTACTGCACTTTTTCTTTTTTCTTTTTTTAAAAATTATGCTTTTCTGCTAATATCATGTAAATTAACATTTTCTGATGACAGCCTGCATTAGAAAATATAAGTTTCTCGAAAATCTTGTTCCTCAAAGTAAACATATAATCCTTGAGTTTTTGCGAAAATTGGTGTCTTATCATTATTTAGATGATTGACTGGTGATTCTTTCTTGGCTTCCAGTGGTAATAACTTACATTTTTCTTTATCTGAATAGTGGTTACCCCTGGAAGCAAGTGGCCCGATCACAGATGCTACATATTCTTGCGATAGTCAATCTATATATGTCAGTTTTGAAGATGGAAGTGTTGGTGTTCTTACTTCTTCAACTCTGCGGTTGAGATGTCGAATCAATTCTTCTTCGTACATAACATCCAATCCAAGGTGAGTGCTTCTGAAATTTCTTGGAATTTATTTATCTTCAATATATTTTTACAAGTTTAAACGAGCCAATCACCATAAAATATATCTTCAATATATTTTTTCCCATTTCCTAATTATATTACTTCAATTTTGCAGTATAAAGGTTTATCCCTTGGTTATCGCAGCGCACCCATCAGAACCTAATCAATTTGCATTAGGACTCAATGATGGTGGAGTCTGCGTACTTGAGCCACTAGAGTCGGAAGGCAAGTGGGGCACTTCACCACCACAGGAAAACGGTGCTGGTCCAAGCACTTCTGTTGCAGCTAGTTCCGATCAACCTTAGAGGTAAACAAACAGGTGTATTCTTCTGGAAACCAAACGAACTTATAGCTCCGTTTGTACATGTACCAAATTCCCGTTCTTATTTATTTCGGGGGAAAAGCTGCAAGATTAGATGATACAGTTTTTAGGTTGTCAGCTTCGTAGGGCTAGTGGGCAGGATTCAGGAAAGCATCGAATCAATTATAACGTAGGTTGAGTCGATGTCTCTCCTTAAGGATGAAATGAATATTGAGGTTTATGGTGGAAGTTACAACAGGAGAGTTGTGAAGGATGAAAAGGATATTGGGTGATGAAAGTACAACAGAAGTGTAGTGATGGCCTCCTTTATGTCAGCAAGGATGAGTTTTGTCAATGTCACCAACTGCTGCTCTCTTCTCGTTCTCTGGAGTTACTGAAAAAGTTAAAATGTATTCATTTGATTTGTTTTTTCTCCCCCAAAAATTACTGATTAGCATTAGCAGTGTTTTACAATCTTACTTTTGAGGGGTTTCTTATGTTTAATACAACTATATATGGTTAATGATGTTTTCGATTAATTATATGTTCTCTATAGTCGCTACATGTGCTTCAAGTCCTCGTGGTTGCAAGATCTTATAAGTTGACAATCGACAAATATCTGCCTCCTCCTATTCCTCTTCCTTGACTCTGCTCTTGTTCGAGTTTAGACAGAAGCATGCATTTGTTCAAGCAATTTCTTTCTGTTTTCTTCTTTGCATCCAATCGTTAATCATGGACCAGTGAATATGAACAAAGGTATATAGGATGAACAGAAGATAAGCATCACAGATTTGGATAAAGAAGGAAATCAAAGAAAACATATCTACAACAAAAAACTGCGAAGTTAAAGAAATAACAAGAGAAATAGAAGTGAAATTGAAAAATTAAAAACAAGAGTGTATGCAGAAGAATTCGGCAGACCACAGCATATTGCATATTAACTTAGTGCGTTCGGTATGCAATACTCTACACAACTATATAATATAATGAAAATCTTCTTTTGCTTTTGTAATACTGTCATTGAAATCCTTGTTCTATCCCAAACCTGCACGAGGAAGAGCAATCCAAGTACTAATTCAAAACTAATACACCGTCACATGGTAAAAGCTTTCAGGATTCTTTGTTTACTTAGCAAAAACTTTGAAACCAGACCTCATCTATAACTCATAATCATGGACCTGGCAATAGCGTTGCCGTAACTCTCTTAATCGATTCGCAAGCTTTCACCAGATCATCTTCTGTATGAGCAGCAGAGACGAACAATTTAAGTCCCACCGGTAATTTGCATTTGTCTATAGTTGATCTTTTTGAAGTTGCAAGAAAAATCGAGTCTTCTTTCAACACCTGCGCGTTACGTTAATGTTACACCCTTGAAGCAGAAATCATTAATCGGGACAAGAATTACTAGCATGAGCTCAACTCAATAAAAACAGGTTTCTTGAAGAGGCTAAGAACATTTTTTGGCTTTAGCTTAAAAACGAAGTAAATCTACTTTTTGGCTTTTTTACTCCATACATATTTGACAACTTACATTTTTGAAGTAATTTTTACCTTCTTGTTATTTTCCATTTTGACCATTAAAAAATATTTATTTTATAACTTCATTATTTACTTACAAGTAAACGTTTAAGATTAGACAGATGCGCTCAAAAATCTACTTACGCGATCACAAATATCTTGAAGCACTTGAAGGTCGCCCTTTATGGATCCTGTAGACTTCTTAAGTGTAAGGAAAACAATTGGTGATTGTGGATCACTCACGATCTCAAGGCCTTGAACATCTGATAAACCTGGAATTTTACATAATATTAGGAATTAATGATAATTTTTCCAGGTTATTAAAATATAAATTAGAAACAAAAAATAAAATACTAAAAGAAGAAAGAACCCCCCCCCCCCCCGGCC